TGTTGCAAATAACATAGCAAAAAAGGTCATTTGGCAGAATAATTTATCTTCTTTCAAAATTGATGACTTCGCGAATTAGCGTGTAAATTTTAAGGATTAGTGAAGCATGTATAACAATATTTGGGCGGTGAATTAAAATTCTAGTCAGTACTTGCAATCTCATTAGTTTTGAATGGTTCTTGGTAGTATTAATGAAGTTTGAGAATCGTTACAATTTAGATGTGCATTATTAAATAGCAAATGAGCAAGCAGATGGAAATATTTGACATTGTATCGCTCCAATAAAAAAGTTTTCGTTGTTTAATGCACAACTTAGAAATCAGTGTTCTGTTACCAGGGTAGCTTATCTTTTTAATGTCAGCAAACAATAGATATTGCTTGCGTGTGCAGTTTAAAAAGTTATAAGAACATAATAACATTTTACGCGTTTATGTCAAATACAGCTTTAAAACTTGTAAGAATATACATGTAAAGTCACATTGTTTGTATAAAATACATTTTAAAATATGCGGGAGTTTAAAGGAAAATGAAAATTTACGTAATTTTTATAGATTTATTTCATGTTGATTTGTATGATTAATACACACACGGCAAATCCAAAAACTGTCTAGCTATACGTTCAGAAACAAAGTGGAAGCAATTAGGGAGTTAAAGGCTTCTATGACACATTTATAAGGCTGTCATCTACAGATTAAGAGTTTCTCAAGCTCGATTCTTTGTTTAAATAAAACCATTAGATTTTAAACGTGTTTTCTAAAAGATTACAAACATAGATATGTACTGAAATTAGAATTATCTTAAAAGAGGCATGACGTATTTATCGCTTAGCTATCGAATTCGATACAATTAGAAATTTTTAAAATTTAATTTTGATGTAGTTAAAAAAATAGAACTCGTTTGAGAGAACAGTTTTCATAGCGTAAATTTATATGCTCCGTTTCGGATCTATCATGTTCATTCTTATCTATATCTCCAATATTTTTCCCCTAATGAAGTGATCCTTAATGTAGATTTATAAATATAGCCTATAGATTATAATTAATTAACTATCTATTAATTATTTGAATGACGGTGTCCGTGATCGTGTCCGAAAATTTGAAAGGAATCGGAAGTTTCTACAACAGTAAATAACAATATGGTACTTTTATCTGAAGGAAATTCCATTTTTTTATGTATTAATAAAATTAATGAGGTGTAAAAGTAATTTGCCGAATAAGGTTATATTAATGCTAAACGTTAAATGTATCAGCAGGTAGTAAATTATGTTCGGCATTAAAGCTTAGATTAATAAGTAAACATTACATTATATTGTAGCTTAATTTACAACGGGCAACTTTACTTGAATCTACAGCTTGTTGCATAAATTAAAATCAAGCTCATCAACAGGCTGCACAAGTATCATGGCAAACTATCTCTAGAAGAGGAATAAAAACTAACAACTAAATAAACATTATTTGAAAACGCAATGTGATGCAAAAATTTGTGACGTAATCTAAAATTAAATATCCCCGAAAAGCTTGAAGATTCGGTTAACTTATTAAAATACACATAAATGCTGATTTAAATATGCATAAGTGCTTACTACTAATTGTTTATGATTTTAATTACCAAATTTCATCACCTGTATATATTCTAATTATTCGGATAAATTTAGTTCTATAATTTTAAACTTCCACTTACGCAACAAATGCTCTCAAAATCTTGGCCGACTAGCTGGTCAGGTTCGATTAGGTACGCTTATTTGAGTACGGCGAAACGCACAACAGCTGCTTGCCTATGGGGAGGCATAACTTCATATGGACGACTTTCTAAGGAAAACCAGCTAGTATTCATGCAACAGATATAGAAAACTACATAATCCAGCAACGCAGCCTAGCATAGAATCCGAGTCGAACTTCTAATAGTCAGTGGTCTTAGCCACTTGGTCACTAATGGGGGAAGCAGCTCTGAAGCATGCTGCAAAACGGACGGACACTTTTTCAAACAGGAATTCTTCTTTAATTCAGCGTAAACTATAGTTTATAAATGCAGTACTTGAATTTATGCTCGTGTTACTGATATTTGCATAAACTTTTAAGATGGTCGAATCATTGTAACAGAAACACAGGAGAGCATTGTTAAAGCTTATAGAAAAATTTGTATAATTATCACTATGTTATTCCTCAGTTATAAAACAAGTACTTTTCATAAGTAAATGTCTAAATATGTTATGTCATTTGTATACTCCATATCAAGAATTTAGAAGTGCTACTGACTGGGCTTTTATTATTCACTGGTTATATTCTACTTCTGAAGGCTAGCATAATGTTTAGTCGGAAAATACATAGTGGTTGTGAAAATGCTTTATATCATTATTTTAAATGAAGTGATTTATTTTTTTCTTCAAATTAGTTGTAAATGTTTAATTTATTGTTTTATAAAATGTTAATAAAAATGCCTTGGAAAACATTTTCCATTTATTATAATGCTATTTCTCGGGGGTTGAGTAGTTTTGCATGTACGTTTAAAAAAAAATAAATATGAAAGTATATTTAACTGAAATTTACCTCCAACTTGCCTTCTGTTTCTATAAAGCACATGACTCATCTATGCATATATTCATAAATTTATAAAATCATCCCAAAATTTTATATGTGGATCTGTTTAAATTTAAAAATCACAAAAAATGAATATTTGCGAAACATAATGGAATTTAAAACAAATAAAATCAACAGATGAATACAGCAATGAAATTATACGAATATGGGAAATAATGCAGGAACAGTCTCAATGCTGAAAAATTGAAGAATCATATCATTTCAGAGGGAGAGGCATTAATACTCCCAAATTACTGAATCATTTATCTAAATAATGTAATGGATTGTAGCAGAATATTCATAAAAAATATATTTTTCAATAATTAGAATATTCATTTAACAAATTTTATAACTATTGTTCAGATGAATTAGGAATTAAAATTTTTGAATGTGTAATTATATATCTATAATCTATAATTTCTGCTCAAAATTTTTAATTTTTCACATTAGTCTTCAATTTACCATCTTGCGACTTGTAGTTCTGGCTTCAGGAGAGGAAGTCAATTCTGCAAGAATCAAGATGACATGCTTCATATATCAATGTATTTCAAAAAAAGCAAAGTTTTTAGAAAAGTTTGGTACGCTTAGAATTTGAAGCACATTATTGGCACATCCGGGTATTGAACATTATGGGATTTTGCGAAATTGGAGAAGAAATTGAGTGTATCAGGATAAATCTAAATCCAGTTTTCAATGAAATTAATTAGCTATTAATTTGCTTTCCTTTACTCCAAAATATTAAATTTTGATTCTATTTTTCGTAAGTTTCCCATCATATAAATTAACATGTTGGATAGAAACACATCCAAATAACTTAAGTAATAAACGTAAGTTTCGAGATTGATTAAAATTTGACAACTGATTAAAACATAACTGATTTTAGGTGAAAAATACATTTTGAAATGAAAACCTAGACTGTTTAAATAGTTAAATAAGTCCCTGGGTTTGTTTAAGGTAAAAGAGCGAAATTTTGAAGAAAGAGACTAAAAAGGTTGAAATCTTTGTTGAGTAAACTGCTAAGTAGTATATATCAACGCGGAAATACATTTATAAGCAGTAATTAGCTATCTGGTTGGGTCTTTAATGGAAAATGGCGAAGGAAGGAAGCTTTCGTTAATAAACTCTAAACATTCGACAGTATTAGGATACATGCACACAGCCTTGCTTGTTCATCTACGCAACTGCGAACTCCCAAGGGTTATTAGGCATCGTTAGAGAACAGTTTTTATTAATGTATATACTAATGTTACTGAATTAGTAAGTTCTTCAATAATATGAATACCAATTTGCAATAATCAGTGAAAGCCTAAAACAAAGGTACCAGGAAGTGAAATATGCCACATAAATATCTTCACAAAGTAAAGTGTATGAGATTTTAGATAGCATAAGACATTTTCAGACCATCCGGAATATGTGGCAAACGAATAACGTTCAAGAAAAGCTTCGGCTACAAAAACAGAGCAGTCTATAGAGTGAGAGTAATCCACATTATTACCGCGAAGACACTGAAAAGTGTTTCGCCATATTGTTATTAAATTTTACATACAGATGAATGCCTTGTGATGGCAAATGCTACGTGTCGTACTGCATAATGGAATAGCATTTTCACAGAATATTCGACTAAAGAAGGAATTATGGTAGTCTGCAATCGATCAATTTCAATCCTACTTCTTTTTATGCAAGAAGCTAAAATTCAATTTTAGAGGTCGTGATAGGGAACGAGAACAATATCCACAAATCTGGTGAAGAATCAGCCAAAATCGATCATACTGGTTGACTTCTTGAATTGTTACTAAGACTAAGGGCTACTTTTCCAGTGGATATTGGAGCCCACCAGCGGCCGAGCGGTAAAGTCGCTGAACACTGGTAGTTTGTCCGAGGTTCGAATCCCGCGAACGGGCTGGCTGCATGGGTGGTTTCGTGGTTTTCCCCATGTGTAAAGTGTATACGAACCAGTTTCCCTTAGAAAGTCCTCCACGAAAGCATACCTCCCTTTAGGCAGATAGCCCTCGAGGCTTTGCCATAATCACACACACACACTCCAGTGGATATTGCGTTTAACGTAACTATTTAGAATGTGACGTTATGGTTAATTTCTCAAATATACTCGTTCTGCCAACAATTTCTTCGTTTCCGCCATACATTATAAAGCTACCATCCCACAGACAGTTAAACATTGTCTTATAACGTACTATAAATTTATGCGTAATACATTATATGCATGAAATCGCATTTATTGCAGAGATTATGCTGCTGATAACTTAAAAAAGTGTGACTGAGAAAAATGACACCCAATAAAATAAATTTTACTTTATACAAATTGCAAAACCAAATTAAAAAACACATTGTGTATTACAGTGTTTTCAAAATAATTGTATATTTTTGGAAAATATCATGTTTAAATAAACAACTTTCCTCTTTTAGGTTCCAGATCCCATATACCTCTCAGGATTAATATGTTGCACATTCCCACCCCCGTGGTAACTGGGGATAGTGTTCGACTAAAGTGTGGTTACGAACTCGGCAACGAGACCTTGTACGCTGTCAAGTGGTATAAGAACATGGGGGAGTTCTTCAGATATGTCCCTGCCTCTGAACCTCCCCTGAAGACATTCCCACAGCTAGGAATAGATGTTGATGTAAGTACTATGTAAACCAACTCCAGTTCAATCATTTCTATGCATGAGATATTTCTCAAAAGGATGTTTGTTATTGCTTTGTGACTTATATGAATAATTCAAACACTTCCACGTTTTTAGATGCGCAATATTTTTCCTCACGCTTGGAATGTGTTACCTTTTCTTGTTTGTTTTTTGTCTTCTTTGCAGCTATGTTGTTTGCAGCTATGTTTCCGAAACATATTTATGGAGATGTATTGAGTCATCCTTTAAAATCGAAAATTGAGAATTAAAGATTCAGTTGCATATAATGTGTTACTGATTTAGTACCACTTTATATTCATCTAAACCGCATAAATGTAGCAGTTTTCTTACAGCTTCCGACTTAAAAACATTATTGGAAAAACAATCTGTTCAACAAAACTAAATGAGTTTGTCAGATGGATAATACACTCATGTCCATAAATTAAAGATAATACAAAATCAGGCAAAGGAAGAGTTAGAAGCAAAAATTTGGCTTATTTGTAAAGCTTAATTATTAAACAAAACGTAAAGAGCATAAAAAGATGCTATATGTTTGATATTATTAAAAAAATTAGCGATTTTTCTGACAGGAGCAAATTACAAAAAAAATCTATTTACAAAAAACCAATATTACATGGTTGGTATGATTGTTAATACATTATATGTCTCCCAGACGATGCAATACAGTCCGTACAACGCCTATTATCGATCTGAACTTGAGGGATATTACACTACTCAAAAAGCAATGCTCTCCGGTAGACATGTAGGAGGAGGTTGACGGGCTGCAACTTGTCGGCCAAGCATATCCCACACGTGCTCTACTGCATTCAAGTCCGGAGAGAATGCTGCCAGTCCATACGGGTGATATCCTCCGATTGAAGGCATTCGCTTACGATGTTTGCACGGTGAGGACGGGCGTTGTCATCCATAAACACAAATTGTGCGCCCATGGCGCCCCGAAAGAAACGTACATGTTATTCCAGAATGACGTCTCGATAGATTTGGTTTGTCATGGTTCCAATTTGAACATGCAGGTCAGTTCTGGAACCCAGAATAATTCCACCCCAAGCGAGCACTCCTGCACCACCGTAACGGTGTCGTTCAATGATGTTTTCTTGGTGGTAACGGGTACCTGGAGCTCTCTATATGAACGTCCGGCGAGAATCAGACTACAAGCTAAACCTGGACTCGTTGGAAAACATCACACAAGCCCACTGTTGCGCTGTCCATAATGCATGCTCTCTACTCCAAGCTAACCGCAGGCGACAGTGAGTTGCAGTAAGTGGAACGCATCTGACAGGTCTACGAGCATATAGACCAATCTGCCCTAAGCGTCTGTACACGGTCTGCCTTGAACTTGTCCACTGACGAGACAGGTCTGAGGCTGTGCTCCGCCTGTTTCTTTTGACAGTAACTGCCAAATACCGATCCTCATTCGACGTTGTAACTCTGGGGTGACCTGTGGTGTAACATCTTCTCACAATTACCATCATCTTGGAATAGTTGCCAAAGCCTGGAGATGACACTCTGGACAATTCCAAGTTCGTCTGGTACTTCCAATTGGTACGCCCACATTCCCAACGGCCGATAATTCTACCACGTAAAAAATCATCCAAATGCGTCCTTTGTGTCATAACTATTCGGTTATTGCACTGAAATGCTTATAAAGCGCCTGCGAACAATTTTACTTCTTTGCCTGTATTCCTTATATATCACTCTCTTACACTCTGGTTATTGTGATGTACCATCGGTGTCATCTGGTTACTGCCGGAAATTTGCATATGATTCTTGAAGATGTGTGTAGTGATTTTACAGGTGATATATTTATTTTAGAGTTCGATTTCCGCGTGATTCCGAATTATCCTTAATTTATGGATATGAGTGTAAATGAGTTATTCCTGTTGGAAAAGAAAATCGCATTTTTAAACGCTAGAATTTTTTTATTAGAAAATATTGAATTTCTTATAATCAGTTACATTTTACAAACAATTAAAAATATTTTGTGAGAAGTTTACCACATTCTTCCGCAGAGCAAAAATTAAATGTTGACTAACCTAGTCTTTTCCAACAAAAGTAAAATGAAATATTGAGCAATCTAGCAGAATGAATAGTTACTTTAGTAAGCGAATGAAACAATTAGACTTATTTCTAATGTATAATTAGTAGTTTAGATTAAGAATATTTTTCGGCCCATTTTATTCCAAAAATTTCAAATTGGAAGTTCTTCTTTGCGTTGTCTACATTAAGTGCTACTCATAAATGAGATTTATATGAAATAGTGGAAAAAGTAAAATTTCCCTTTGTTAAATAATAAAAATGTTTATTACAGTAAATAATTGTTATAATTTGTACAGGGTTTCATGACTGCAGCCCTGTATGAAGTTGAGAATAGTTAGAGTTTGCTTAAGGAATAGCTTTTGACTGAAAACAACAAAGTAATCATGATTTCGGGAAGTACAGAGCAAATAACGGGACACCTATTAACTGCCGAAATCGTTCATTGTAAATACGATACAAATACACCAACCGATTAGATTGTCTATTAGAGTGAATACAATGTGCAGGTAGTGAATGCATGTCTATAGTTGTGAAGCCGGAACAAAATGAATTCTAGGCTTCATTGTTAATTTAAATGATAATAAACTTTACCCAATATGCTCTAAAGTAATGCTATTGCAATCATTATCTCACGCAGATTCTAAATTGTACTATATTATTGTTTCCGCATTTTAGCCATTAACAATATGATGTATATTGAAATGATACTCATCCACCAAACTATTGTTTAATGAAATTAAAACATACATTCGTTGCATAACACATCTTGCACAGTTATTGAAAAATGCATTAAAGTTCCATGCTCATAAAGGTGATGGAAACTGACTTCACTGAATCCTTATTCTGGATCTGAGAAAAATGTAAATATCTGTTCAATAGACAATATATGATGAAACTTTGTAAATCCTTGTATCTAATTCTATCGATTGTGTTAATAATTTGTCAGCTGCGAAATACCATAGGAGCTCTAATTATGTGATAGATAATTCCAACTGCTGTTTAATATTAAACCCTGCCATATTACTCTTAAGATAGTATATATTGAAACTGATTTAATGCAAAATAAGGATACATTTCTGACGTCTGCATAGATACTTTCGAGTTCGTATCAGCTATGCGTTTATCACTAAAACCTTTCTACTTTACTTTCCTCAATTCCTTCTTTGTCTTTTTGTAAGTAGGTGCTCCCTTGTGTCAATAAATGCAGAGAAATATATAGATTCTTCTATGATAAAACTATTTCAATCGAAAGAAATTCAGTTTGAGCATTCTAAAATGTAATTGAAAATCACATTTTTTCCCAAGAAAAGGCCACGGGAATTTCACTAGTAAAACCTTTTTCGAAGAAGCTTAGGACTGCATGATTCATCTTGATGTCACTTCTCATGATTTTAAACTTTTCAGGAATCTTTTATCCAAACCTTTTAGCATGAGCAAGATAATATTAAGGTATTTTCCTTTCACGAGTGATGATAAAATTCAGAGACGGAAATAAAAAGGAAAATATAAATAAAGATTACTTTTATTTTATTTTCTTTAGAGAAAAGTGTTTTCCTTAGAAAAATGGCTGTTAAAAGAAGGAAATCAGAAAGAGTAAAATACAAAATACAGGTTGTGTTAGGTTTGATTTGTCCTATAGTTTTCGACTTCAGGATTGTGGAAAAGTACTCCAAATTAAATTGAAACTGTGGTTTGAATTTTGAATCCTCATCATTTTTTGGGTTAGGATGGAGCCTCAGGTATTATTTTCAGAGCGAGCCTCAGGTATTATTTTCACAGTGCATGCAAGCGAAATCATTCATATGTAGATACAGTAGAATCCCTCCTAACAAGCACTCATTTAACCAACAATATCAAAATCACAGCAGTTGTAAAAATTTAAATTTAAATTCGAAATTTATAGTTTTGAAATATATAAGTATGTAATGAATTAACAATTTGAAGACTTCAAGGTTGAAAACATTCGTGTTATGTTTCAGCCGTTCAGTGTAACAAGCCTTATCCAACTCGTGAACCAAGGAACTGTCAAGAATACAAAGAGGAGATATCGATATTTTTTTGTACGTCCTTATAAATAGTTTACACTTAAGGAAGCTGTATTTATTTTATCTTTTTCCTGAGAAGATCACTTAAAGAACATTACTTTACTACGTCGCTGTTGGCGTAAATTGTAGCCAGTAATTATGCTCGTAGATGACGAGTCGAGCAACAAAGATTACTTTATTTTAAAACATGTCCGACATCCTTATCAAACATCTTGGATTTACTTATATTTGTAGTGGTGTTATTTAATTAACCAGTTATTATAATTTTGATCTTTACTATAACTTCTCTTTTCCGTTTACCTTACCAGAATGTAAATGAGATAATTTATATTTAAGCTGAAGTATTTGGATTTTAAGAGAAAGCGTGTTTCTGGTTGCTTGAGCCCAATATGTTTAGTTTTTGCCAGCTCGGACAGTTGTAATTATTCTGCTTGTTACTTCGCTGCCGACAAATTTATTTTTATGCTCCGGTTAGAGTCTTTGGCTACTGGTCCATGCTTAACTTGAATTTGATTGCTTTGTTTAGTTGCATCAACACGAATTATTCCTGATCTTGTTAGCACAAGAAAGGGCATTTATGTTCTAAATTCTGTTAAAATAAAATGGTTGTTTAAACCTTTCTATGACGTTTTAGCTGTTCCAGGTATAGAAACGCTTTGTTAAGGTTATTGAATTAATTACCAGTTCCAGATCAAGTAAAACCCCATAACATATTCGGAGGAGATTAGTGCTAAGTGCAACTATGGATGAATGTAGATATTTCTGTTTCCGCTGCGCTCTGTCAAGATGAAGGCGAAATAATTGAACAGGTACTGTGAACGGAGAAAGATAATGATGATAATGTGAAGAAGGAGGAGGAGCATGAAGACGACACGCACTGAAAGAAAGTTACATGAAAGACATCTGAAGAAAAATTGCAAAATTTTCATAAGATTTCTCAAGAAATGTTCGCATATGTCTTTATATGATGTTATTAATTTTTACTGCATACATAGCGAACTTTTAAAACTACAGCGACAATCTTGTAAACAGGCAGACATCTGAAGTTATATGCTGTCACAGAAAAAACATTTGTAGGTTTCATGTGATAATAAATATGAAAATTTTAAAATGTTGTTTAATTTCTTTTTCTGAAAAATAAAATCATGTTATATGTTTTAATTTTAAATAATTTGTACGATTTTGATATTATGTGTTTAATTTATTTAATTGTGGCCAATAGGTTGAAAACACTGCTGCAATTTTTTCAGATGCCATCACAAAACATGAGCAAGTGAGTTTTAGCAATGTATAATCAGTTATCTTTTATCGGCGCAGTCTCGTTGTTGTCGGTGAAAATGGATTCAACTGTACAGGTTTTTCTGCTTAATACAAATAAATGCGCAACAAAGACTTGAAAGAAATTTTAAAATCAAAATTTGAAAGCTCTTTGTATGCTAAATTATCAATTGTTACCCATCCCCACCAGAAGGGGCAGCTCCATCAATTTTGCTGACTTAGTAAATTTATTTCTCTGTACAAACTAAAAATAATGGTAATTTAAGTCAAAATATATTTTTATTCAGTTATCCCTTGTAAGAACAAATTTGTCGACTCTTTCAGAAAATCGGTGCTCTAGGTGCAACCTGTCTCCTATGCTTCGTGACTACTCAGATGTTTACTGCCAACAAATTATGAAACTTGAAAAAGCAATCAAAGAGAAAAAGCTATAATTGGCAAATCGCAAAGGAATTGTGTTCCACAAAGGCAATGTGAGGTTTCACATAAATTAATAGCTCATACGAAATGATTGCAGCTCGGCTAGGAAGTAACGTCGCATCTTCCATGTAGCCTGTAGCCCCTATCTTGCATCATCGAATTATCATTTGTTTCGAAGTTACAAAATTTCGCAAATGGTGAAAACTTCAATAATAACGATTACCTCAAATAGAAGCTGGTTGAGGCTTTTGCCTAGAACAGAAATTCTATGAGAGCGAAATCATGAAGTTTCCAGAAAGATGGCAAAAGGTCATCGAACAGAATGGAAGATATTTGATTGATAAAAATTCATATTATGTATAGAAAAACAGAGTTTTATTTCACACTAAGAAACCGAAATTATCTTCTTGCCAGCTTGATAGTATATATGCACAAATTTCCTTCATTAGTGGCACATTTTTAAGAACGGATCTTTTGACATCATTACTGTTTATTAGCATTTGTAGGAAGCAAAGATTATTTTATATAACTTCAGAAAACGAATTTTTACCGTATACCAGAAGTCCTTTGAAACTCAAAGTAATTCAAAATGGATTTTTTTAGTTTGGGTTTGGGAATAAAATTACTTCGCTAGGTATTTTTACGTAAATTCTAAAGGAGAGTAACATGGATTTATTTAATTATAAAAACAATATGAGGGTTATAATCGGTTTTAAAAAAATGATGAAAACTTAGGAAATTCATGAATTCATTCGATATTCAGAGAAAATTTAATATTCACAAAAATCTTAGAAAGATCTCTTAAAATTCGGGAAATAATTGTAGAAATTCAAGTCGTGGGAAAATTATTGACCTTATTAATAGGACTTCTGTGTCTCTTTCGCAATGGAAATTGCAATTCAAAAGCCTCTTCTCTTTTTACGTAGGATTCAGTTTCGGTTTATTTGATTAGGCAAAGCACACTTGGGCCTAAGGGGAGGGATGCCTTCGTGAAGAACTTTTTTAGGTAAACTGACTCGTATACACATTACACATGTGAAAAACTACGGAAAGCCTATGAAGCCAGCACGTTCGCCTGGAATAGAACCCAGGTCGGAACTATCAATGTTCAGCGACTTTAACACTCGGCCGCTGGTGGGCCGCCGGAGGTACATTTTACACCCCCGCACACACACACACACACACACACAAAAAAAAAAAAAAAAAAAAAAGGAAAAGGGAAAAAATGTGACAGTTTTGTATCTTTAGTTCTACTGACCCGATTCACGAAATTTGATTAGTGTTTTTCATGTCTCGAAAGCACAACATAGTATATAAATTAGATTTTTATACAGTATTTTTCTAACATAAGTATTTTGACATAAAATTGGAGTTTTTCTGAAATTGCATAAAGATTTGTTTTCGTATTTCGAATCTATGACTGAAATTTTGTAAAGTTTGGTGAGAAACTTACTAAGAAATTTAAAATTTCACCTTGGCGCATTTTCTCAGTTTGCGCCGAGAATAAATGGCGAAATTCTTAATTTATGGTAACCTATTTTCCTTTCCCTTTCATTGTGCTCGAGCGGGGGCGGGAAGTGTATCGTTCATTCTTT